GGGGGCTGTGGGCCAGATCTGGTCTGTAGATCAGCCCTGTGCCACAGGCGTGCGCCTCTGCCCCATGTGGGTCTAATCAGACCCAGAGGCAGCACTGGGGGCTGGATGGTGGGGCTCTGTGGGTCAGATCCAGCCTGTGGGCCACATGGTGACACCCCTGCTCTATGGATATTGAGATACCATTCTGATTGAGGAGCACTACAAACTAACACTGAAAACTTTGGGAAAAATACTAGTTCCATATTGTTAATCAAATTATTGTGTAAGCAAATAAATGGGCATACTACAGGCACACCCTAAAAGGTACACAGAAGCATTGCAGATTAAACTTTTTACTAGTTAAATGGACAATTACCAGAGAGAATATAATTAAACTTAAATTTGATGGGGGGGGGTCCCCCATTTCCCCTAAGTTTTGAAGACAGCAGAATTAAGTTCATCATGAATATTTCTATAATTTTAAATGCATATTTTATCACTTTTCAAAGTATAAATGCACCCCCCTACTAAGCCTTTGTTTCAAGGTAATTTGTATCATCCCAGATCCTCACAGGTGAGAGGCTCCATACCAGCTATGAACCGACTGCCCACAGGAGTTTTCCATCTATTGACTCTGCTGTGAAATCCGATGAAATATGAACTTTCATTTCTACCCAGGAGAATTTTTATAATCTTTCCTCCAATGCCTGATGAAAGGTGTTTGTGCCTGAAAGCTTGCAATTAATTTTTTTTTTTTTTTGCAAAACTCTTGTTGGTCTAATAAAATGTCATCTCTACTATGAGTCCTATTTGCCTCCCCCTAATAAGCTGAGTTTTTGGTTGTAGCCATGTTGGTCTAATCACAGGCACGGTTTTAAGACCGTGTTGGTCTAATAGACAGGCAATGTTCTTTGGATAGATGTGATATCTTTTATTAAACCAACTGAGTAGTTGGAAATAAGTTCTTTGCAAGCTTTTGGGTGTAATCACCCTTCCTTAGGCATAGGGAGTCTTTGCTGTTCTGGGATTCCAAGGAAGACTCCCTAAGCCTGAAGAAGGGTGATTGCACCCAAAAGCTCGCAAGGAACTTTTTTCCAACTGTCAGTTGGTCTAGTAAAAGACATCACATCTACTCAAAGAAACTTCCCTCCCTACTAAGCATATTTTTAGGGTTTTTGTGCACATAAATTTTATGTCTAATAATCACAATGCAAATAAGCACAGTCTGCCAGGACAGAAGCAGCACCAGCAGCTTTGGGATGGACTGAAAGAAAAGGGATGGAAGACAGCTCCAAAGTGCTGGCTCCTGCTCTAAATTTATCCTCACAGCAATATTTGAAAGGCCAGTGAACAGAGCTCACCACCAGTCAAGGTAGAAGCGAGCTCCCAGGCTGAACATCCTGGGAACTTCAGCCCAGCATCCTAATGGAGGTAAATCACTGCCAGCAACAGCCTGTTCAAATTCATGCGCGCTCCCCTGCTCGCTGCCACTTCAGAGCTGTCAGAGAAGACTTATAGCACGCTGTGTAATTAGCAGCTGGAGCACTGTTTGCCTGACAGCAACTGCACGTTGCTCTGTCAACAGGGCTGTGCGTCAGGCCTGCCGCTGTCAGTCACAGAGCCACGGCCTCCTCGCCACCCTTCTGTCTGGGGGCAAAGGCAGTCCAAGGTAACCATCAACATCATCTCTTCACAAAGCGTGGGGAACCAGGGGGAGGATCCTTCTGTCAAAGAAGCCAGCTGGGCAGTTTCACTAAGGCACAACAAAGGAACAAAGCACTGAAAGGAAGCGGCTGGCAAGTCCTCACAAAGTTGATCTTAGCTGTTTGGTGGTCAGGGCTATTTTCTTGGCAGCTGAGGCTACCAGAGCGGCCCAGGCCCCTAAGCTTGCAGGGTACACTAAAACCACTTAGTGCTGTAAGATGATGCCAGAGACATTTTTGGATTTGGGGCCAAAATCCTGGTGCAGGAATCCTGCCATTCCCAACCCCCATCTATGCCACCCAGTGCGTGTATTACCACAATGAAACTGACTAGGACCAGGGTGAGAGGGGCTGAGGTGGAATCCTTATGGTTTCCAGTTCTTTGGCACACACTTAGATGGGTTATGAAAGAACAGGACTTCAGCAGTGTGGTATGTGTATATATTTTTCAACCATGCCTCCTCCTACCTGTCTGGTTTTAGCAGATGTCTCTATGTAGGGGATCCCGTAACTCCTGGCCAAATCCTGTGCTTGCCGGGTCTCCACTGTCCGGGCTGGCAGGTCACATTTGTTCCCCACCAGCACCATGGGGACATCGTCCGAGTCCTTCACTCTCTTGATCTGCTCTCTGCAGGGACAGGGATGCCCAAAGGTGAGAAGAGGAAACACCAAGCAGAGGGAGCACAACATTTCACATGTCAAAAAGGCAGCAGCAGACTGTTTCAGAGAGCTCCCCACACCAACAGAGGAAAAGTCACTTCCAAAGGACTGGTAACAGAGTTATATAGGATGATTTGGGTAGGCCTTTCAAAAAGCACCTAAAATGATGGGGTAATTAAAAGAACAGATCAAAAGCCTTTTTCCTTTTAAAAAAATCCCTATTTAAAATTAAATATGAAATTATGGCAAACTACATTAAGGCCTAAACAAAAAATAAAGTACTCAGGAGTATACATGGTTGCAGCAGAAGTTTTTACAAAAAGTCAAACCACTGAATTTGGGAAAGTGATCGACTAAACACCTGGGACCAGAAACGCTGCTGAAATGATAACGTTTCTTCTGGCAGCTGTAGTACCTAGCTTCTTTTGTAGTGAGAATATTTTCTTTATTTTAAGTTAGTTCTGTTCAATAACTATGTCACTAAAAGAAAAAAAAAACAAATGAGAAGAAAAAAGCAAGAAAACTTGCTTTCCTCTAATCTGTAAATACAAACAGGTACGAGAGGGTGTGATCTACTAGTTCTAAAATCTTGAACAATGTTGCTCAGTTCTTTCATTGCAGATAACTTCCAGTGGCTAATACATTACTTCAGGTGTAAATGCAAAGCATCCTTTTTTCCTCATGTATCTAGAGCATTTAAATATAGTTTTATTTAGTAATAATGTTTTTGAAATACTCATTTTCAGCATTTGATCAAATTCTAACTTCCATCCAAGAACAGTTTGGTACAAGTCATGAATTGAAAAAAAAATATCAATCATTTAGTAAATAAATGTCAGTCACAATTTACTAAAAGTGTAAAACAGAGCCCAAAAGAATCATGTTAAGCTAAAGAACTGCTTAAATGTGTGTGTGATTTTCCCTATCCCAAGGGACATATGAAGTACCACATCTAGTATAAAGGCTGTATTTAGCAGAAAATCAACATGTCTTAATGGCTACCAACCAATGAGAATAAGCTCACTGTTTAGGAAAACAAGACTGAAAATCTATTACCTAAATCACAATTTAAAAAATGGTGATTTTAAAATCACTTTGATTTCAACCAAACCACTCCATAATGGACTCCCCTCCACTAAGTCCCAATGAAAGTCAAATCTGAACTCCAATGATGTGCTCTACAAAAAATCCCATGTCTTGTAGTTTGGTTCTTATACGTTAGTTCATTCTTATATGTTAGTACATAGCAAGTTAGTATGTTCTTTAAAAAATGATTACCCAGGGCATGTGTGGTACTGGAAGGCAAGCAACAGAGGTGAAGCTGCCCCTTCAGCTCACGGGGCAGAAAAAAAGGACTGTAAGGCTATGCTGTGCCTAGTCTGGATGTGTGTGGCACAAGGTCTCAAAGGTTATCTGAGATTAGCTCCCACTATCAACAAAGCTGCAGCCAAGAACAGCACCATATCTCCAGTGTCTACGAGCACAGTAACATCTCCCCGGGGCATGAATGAAAGCTTCAATTACTCATGGAAGGCAAAGCAACAAATGTTGAGCCCAGTGACAGCAGCCAGTAGCTGGGGTCAGGTCACTGATCTACGGCGGAAAATGGTCAGAACCTTTAGCTGATGGATTTCACTCCATTTTTTCCAAAGCACATGACTTTCCCCTCAGTTACTCACTACCCAGCTGGGAAAGCTGATAAATAATCTAAATACAAAGCCACAAGCATTTCTCTCATTTCGAGCAACATATTGTTGGCTCTTCTTTTAATTATTCCACCCTGGGTTCTAGAATTCATTCAGGATGGTCCTAATGTCCCACCGGGCCCAGCTGGGAACAGAATGCAGGAGTGAGTCAGTCACAGATATGCAGAAATAGGGGAAACTTGGTCACAGGTGAGGAGGGAGACGGAAGAGACTTGTAGCATATTACTACTTATAGGACAAAGTCCACGGCTGGCCCTAGCAGCAAACAAGGACTGAGAGGCACTGGTAAGACTGGAACAGACTTGCTAACGGGAGTCAGGCTTGGGCTGCTGTAGTCATATGTCCAGGTGAGCTGGAATGAACGAATGATGGGCAGCACTCTGCAATCGTATTCTTGCATTTGAAGTTGTGGCTGTTCAACGCAGTGACCAGGGATGGAGCATGAGCACAGAACCCTTCCCTTTCGGAGGACTGATCCGGGGAAGTGGAATAGGCCAGAAACCACCATTGTTCTCCTTCCCAATGCCCCAAATTGCTTGCTGAATGAACTTTGTCTGGTGCTCCACCCAGCACAGAAAGCCTCCTCAGAGGAGGCTTCTTAAGTGTCTGTGGGCTGATAGAGCTGCCAGGGCTTCCCACTTCTCTGGCAGCAAGGCATGTAAAGGAAGAGCTGCTCTTTGGCCAGGGAAACATGCTTACAAAGAGCACCACTCCCACTTCCTGTTGCAGATCCCTTACTAGCTACAATGCCAAACCCTTCCTGCCCCCAAAGAGAAGACCTTGGGGGATGGCATAAGGCAGCTTGTTATAGTAAAAAATACTTAGGGGCAGAGCCAGGCCCCATAAATACATTCTTCCCAGCCTGGGGCAGCACTCACTGTGCGGGTAGCTAGAGAACAGCTCAGCATTGCTCCAACAGCAACATCTATGGGCGACTCTGTTTAGATCTTTATTCTACTTCAGGTTTGGGGGTGGGAGGAACCAAATGTATTCTGTTTGTGCATTAAACAAGACCAATATTTGTTATACAGGTACAGCGAGCTCAGACACACCAGGAACTGCAAGCCTCCCTCAATGGCTTCCACGTGCCTCCTCAATTTGTCTGTGGGAAAAGTCATGAGAAGACAGGAACTGGAGTTGTAGGCCAAAGGTTGGTAACCGCGGTGCCAAGAGAGGACACCGAGCAGAGAGTTCTGGCTAGCACCCACTATCCCTTGAACGTATCCAAGGAATCAGTGTATGCCGCCTGGTGGAACTCTGCCCAGGGACGCAGATGGGCAAGGGAACAGAAGACAGACCCACAGTCGCTCAAGTGCCGGCCCCAAAAACAGCACCTCCTTCCTAGTCTGGTAAATCGAGAGCTTGGCCAGGGGCAGGAGCAGGTTGACCAGAAGGACTCTGCACTTTTTAGAGCCTATGGATGAGGTTGACTGCATGGACTAGAGGCCCTGAGTTCTAGTCCCAGATCTGTCTCTTGGGCCTGTCACCATCCTCTCTGTGCTTTGCCTACATCTCTAGTCTATTTAGATTAGACTGTAAGCTCTCCAGTGCAGGGATTGTGTCTCAGGGTGAGCATGTATATACAGAGTGCTCAACACAACAGTACCTGATCCCGACCTCTGTGATACTTGAACAGAGCTGGGAGTTGTAGGAGCATTCGTCTCGGATGCTCCAAAACCCTGTGCCCCTCCTCATGCCCAAGCCAGCTCTCTCAGCCTTCATGGATGGCAGGAGACACCGAGATCAATTTCACTAACAGAGCGATTCCATTAATTAGAGCAGAGAGGGAAGGGATCAGCTCTCCCTCTAGTCACCATAAACACAAACATTACATTACCAAGTCCCCTAAGGCTGCCAGCAAGCCCCTCAGATGGGTTTTTATTGGAGTCACTGACATTAGCCGTCTGCTCCTGCTCTTCCCTGGGGCAGGGCTGCTGGATCTAATAGTCTTTGCTGGCAGCCACCACTTCCACAGCAGGGACCTGGTCTTAAAAGGGGAGGTGGGCACAGCACAGCCTCTCCTTCAGCAAGGGAGGCAGCATAGCGCCTTGCTGGTGAGAGGAAAAGGGCATCGTAGATACTGACCTATACTGGTGAATGTCTTCAAAGGACTTAGTATTGTTAATGGCGAAGACGCACAGGAAGCCCTCCCCCGTCCTCATGTACTGGTCTCGCATGGCGCTGTACTCCTCTTGTCCTGCTGTGTCCAAGATGTCTAATAAACAGGTTTCTCCATCAATGACTACCTGTTTTCTATAGGAATCCTGTAGAGCCAGGAGAGAGAGAGAGAGAGAGAGAGAAGCGTTAAATCGATCAACTAAGGAGTGAATACCTGCTTCTTGTGCCCTGGGTTTAAACAGCGAGCAACAAGGAGTCCCACCACCCACAGGGGATGCTGGTACTGGTGTCACTGGTGGTACTGCCCCAAACATGTTTGGATTTAGCAGCCTTGATTCTATGAGGCCAGGACTAGCAAGGAAGTGGTGCGTTGGTATGCGGCAAAGACCAGAATAGCAGACATGCTGGGGGTCAGGGTTGCTGTGTGCAGGCTCACAGCTGAATTAGCAGGAGGTCCTGCTGCCTGTTAGGACAGTGGCAAAGCTGTACAGGCAGCAGCTTACACAACCACTGCAGCAGCTTACACAACCACCCCATATCAGGCTCTGTGCAGCATTAAACAGCTGACTCAATCCCTATTTTAAAAAAATGGTAGGAGAAAATAAAAACCTAAAGGGAACAGCAAAACAGGTTTCCCCTCTGCTGCCAAAGCAGCAGCTAATACAGCCTCTGGCCTGTTCCTCTAATTTACAGTGTTGTCTCCTGGCAGACAAGGTGCGTCTTTGACCAACGCCTCCCACCTTTAGACAACTATTTTCCTAACTTTATTTAGTACAGGCTAATCCCTCCTGATGACTCCCTTCCTGAGGGAGCTGCAAGGGCCAGAAGTGGTTCGATCGACTCCTGCAGCCACGCCCAGGGACACAGAAATGAGTAAACAGAGCGTGGGTACATGGTGGCTAGAGTCTGTGTGAGGTATCATTGATGCCTCCAATACTCCCATTCGCGGTGCTCTAGAGCTGTCCTTATTAACCAGTTCCGGAAAAATGGGGATGGAAAAGACCTGCTAAATCATCTAAGGCAGCCTTTGGCAGCCTGGCTAACTCCCTAAGGGACACCCTGTACAGTAACGCATCCAATCTAGTCTTACATGTCCCTGTTGACGGGGCTCCCACCACCTGCCCTGGAAGACTATTTTAGGTACCAGAACAATGGTTCTCCACCTCATTAAGGCTCATGGCACCCCTCGTTAAGACTCAAAGCACCCGGCCCTCCTCTTAGTTCTCACTTGTTTTCTGATCATAGAAAAATAAATAGAGCATTATTTTTCTACTGCAAAGAACTCAAAAAGACCCCAACAGATCAGGATGTTTTTGACCCTATAGATATCTATTTGGAATTTCTGGGTTTATCTTGTGAATCATGCTTGCACATCTAACAGTGCTAAGACTGCATGGTGCCCTGGAAAGGATGTCAAGGCATCCCAGGGTGTCATGGCACTGTGGTTGAGAACTATCGGCTTAGAATATCTCAGTGTTAAGGATTTTCCTGATGTTCCCTTCTTAAAGCCCGTCATGTTACTGCTAGCTTGTTCCTTGAGCCTGTGGGAAAACAGTTTGAGACTCGCCTTAGGTCAACTTCTATTCTCTGCATTCCCACAGACTTTGTGGTGACTTTGGACAAATTGCTTTGGCTCTCTGCACCTCAGTTTCCCACCTGTGAAATGGGGATAAAGTCCTCAGTCATGATAGGCAAATAAGTCTATTAAAGATTCTGGAGTTTAGATGCCACAGTGTTGGGGAGTTGTAGATACAGCCCAGGGAAACCAAGATTTTCAGAAGCCACTAGGTGCTCTAGGATATGCTCAGCACTTTCAAAATCCAGCACTTCCACTTGGGCACCCAAAATCGTGCATATTTCTCCCTTTTGCCCAAGGGATTACTGTATCAAAGAGTCCCAGAAAAGAAGGGTTAAAAGGGTCCTCAGAGGACCTCATCTACTCCAACCCCATGCTCAAGGCAGTATCGTCCCCGTCTGAACCATCCCATTCTTAAACTACACAAATCAACCCTTATGCAGAGCTACAAGACATATTGCCCCAAAATGCCAAGAGCACCCTATCCTGCCACAGGTAAAGCAGAAGGACAAGGGCTGTCAGTGTCCAGCAACTACAAGTGCTGTTAAAATGCACATACGAGGTCCCAGGAAGGAGGCCATGTCCTCCATCACAGAGGAAGGGGAAAACCCCACAATCTGTACCAATCTGAACACAAGGTAAAACTCCTTCTGCATCCCAAACGCAGTGATTCATCTGACGCTAGGGGGAAGGATTACCCAGGAACCTCTAGGCTTTAGTCCTAGCAGGACCAATCCAAAATCCCCTTGTCCCTGTAGTAACAGTATGGCAGCAAACTCTACAGTGAAGTTTTCAAACTGATTTTAAGTAGAACACTGTTTTCTCACAAACTTTTTCAAAACTCTCCCTGGAAAAGGTATTTCCTACAATAGGTTTCTGCTCAAAGTTATTTTGTTTGGAACCATCAAAGTTTATGTAACATTACCCCCAACATATATACAGACTTCCCACTATAAAACTGATTTCTGCTATGCTTTTTTTCACATGGAGAACATATGAAAATTGTAATGACCACTCTCAAAGGGCATCTGTTACTACTTTTTTTAAAAGCACTTCTTATATGACATTACCACATGTCCTCCCTACAGAGGCTAACCACAGGGGCTGGTGCTACAACAATTTGGATGGACAGAATTGTAACATCTCATGGAAGCTATGCAAACAACTTAAACTCTCTCCCTGCCAGTCCAACTTCCAACACAGCCCCACACCTTCCCAGCAAGAGAAGAAGAAAATCATGGGCACAGAAAAAAAATTATAGCTCTGGGTTCTCCTGTTTAAAGGATCCTTCTGCAATTTTGTTTGTTCCACATTTTTAGAAATCCTAGACCGAGTTTAAAATTAAAAAGGTCTAGAGCAATGATTTTCAACCTTCTTAGACTGAAGGCACAACTTGATTCAAGGCACCTCTCTTCAAACTCAAATACACCATGAGGAAGACAACAGCTCTTAGTTTTCACTTGTTTTTAACTTCAGAAAAATAATAGAGAAATTTTTCTGTTACAAGGAACTCAGAAAGACCACAACAAGTAGAAATGGTTTTGACATGATGGATTCCTATCTGAAATCTATGGGTTTATCTTGTGAATCATGTGCAAGTGTTTGCATACTAGACTGTGCTCATGTTGCATGGTACTCTTAAAAGGATCGTGCAGTACCCTGGTTGAGAATCACAGGTGTAGGGTCCCCAGATGCTACAGGGGCAGTAGCCTGCTGGCTAGACTTTATCCCGATCCTGGGAAAGAACAAGTTTCTAGCTAATTACTATTAGCAGCAACAGCAAAGGGCACTGACAGCATCAGACTGTAGATGAAGCTAATTAAGTTCATATGGATTCCTGCCCTGTTTGTCACAGTAAGGAGTAGTAAGGGTGAATTTCATTTCCCTCTGTGCACCTAAATGACGCTTTTGGGCCTGCCTTCTCAGTGTCGAAATTTAACCATGACTAAGCATGCTCAGCAGGCTCTGCACTCACTGAGTATGTACACGTATGTAAATCAGGAACAGGCTCCTCCCTGTGTTTTAGCTACAACAGCTGAGTGGTTATTGCAATTACCCAAGGAGCAAGAGACTTGGACCACAGGTCAGACATCACCCACAGCCCTCTCCAGTGCTCCTTTTGAAGCTGAGCTACTGCCTCTTGCATTCAATAGTCATTAGATAAAATAAATGGAGAGTAGTGCAGCGGAGGAGTTTCTGCCCCATTCAGAGGTAGGGATCCAAGCTAGAACCCAGTTCTTGCTCCCTTCCAAAGCATCAGCCATCTCACTGAGCCCTCACACACCCTCCAGCTTACTCTACTACTCATAGTCCTACATCTCCTTCTCTTGACTCTCTAGGGATCTGAGGTGGGACTGGATTGCTTAACTTGTGGCCCGGTGGTTAGAGCACTGCTAGACAGGCAAAGATGCAGGTTCAAACTGCCTCTGGGTAAGGGGGAGCCTAAAACCTGGGTCCCATGCTTTCTGATCAAGTGCCCTTAGCACTGGGGCTACTGAGAAGCCTCCTCTTCTAAAATCTGCGAGTCATTTGTTTCTGGACAGCTACATTTTTGTGACTCAAAACATATACATCTACAACGCACACATGTGCACAGCTGTGATTCCACCCAGCAGTGGACAGCCTATTGTGCACACTTAATTTATGTGGCCATACTTATGCATACACAATGCAGGGAAAACAGAACTGCAATCTGCATGCAACTGCCAAAAATGCCACTTAGGCACCTAGACTGCTGCCATCTAAGCGTGCAAAGGGAATCAGAATTCTGTCCTAACCGTATTTCTGTGCATATCATTCCCCCTGGAAAGGCCTGAAACCTGAGTCACTGTGATCCAAAAATTCAGAAGAATTCAGAGCCGCTTCACTGTGACCTTCTCAATAATCATCCCCAAAAAGGAAAGGTCGAAAACAGAGCACTAACCAAAGAGCACAGCAGTGTTGAGCAATTGCTTGGCCTCCAGCCAATCACTCAGCCCTCCAGAGAGGTATTTGCATTCTCAATCAATAACATGTCCAAAGCCTCCCCGACAGTTCTCACTAGCCAGCAGCAGAGATTCAGCCTCTGAGGTCTTGGCCCACAGTTCCGCACCTGCGTCCACAGGTAAAAATCAGGGGGAAACCCACCTGCAAACACGGGTCACTTGCCTGTGGAAGTGGCATCACCAACTCATATCTAAATGGAGCTTATCTACAAAAAACTCACAGCTGGAAGTGTCCCTGGGCACAGAGGATCTCAGTTCCCAGTGGTGTTCACCACTCAGACAGGGCAGTGCCACAGCTGAATCTGGGGGACCCAACAGTGGAGGAGAAACTCTTCTAGACTTCACCACAGCAAGGTAATGGGGTATATTTGGGGCAAGTTTTCTATAGCCACTTTAATTCTTTCCCTTGTCAAGGGACATCCACATAGTAAGGTGACTTATAAGGGAAATGCCTCTAGGGGCCATCATGATGGTATTCAAATCCTCCTAAATTAAAAAGTCCATTCTTTCACAACCATTTCCAGCCTCCTTTTAAGCACTGGCAGTAGCAATATACTACTCAATAACATGAGTAAGAGTCTGTGTA